TAATTAAGATTGAGTAATTAATAACAAGGCATGGCAGGGAAGGCAGCTGGGGGGCATGCCCAAAGGCAAGTGGGGCAACTAGCACTGTGGCTAGTTGGGGAATCCCCCACTTTGCCACAGTGATGCTTTAATGTGCATTAAAATAGGCTAACGCACATTAAAGTGCACATGCAGATGTGGCCAGAGACTTCAGGCAGCCCATTTAAAAAAATACCTTATTTACTAAATTCTGGATTTCCTTCTTACAATGTATCTATTCATGGACTGTTTTTGGTATTTCTCTGAGATCACCATCCTTTGTCATTCTGTGCTGCAGTCAAACTAACACTGAGGTTAAAAATGAGATTTTGTAAAGTGTTGAGAGAGGAAGAGAGAAAAAAAGAAAGAAGTCTCTTTCTCAGCTAACCATGATGTCATGAGTGCCAGACTTTGCCTCTAGTGGAAAAATAAGTGGGTGGAAAAAAAGAGATGTGAATCACTCAAGAAAGTTCTTTCAGACCTGAAATCATATCAGCAATTGATTGATTAGTTCATATAAAGTCAGAATCAGAATTTTAACAATTCCTCTAGGTAATACATTGAGCCAGATTGTAAACTAATGGAACTATATCATTTTCTGCCATATGACGATCAGACCCATGCCAAACAGGGCAGACACACAGCAAGATATTTCTAACTCTTCAGGTACATGCACATATCCAGTGACCTGAACCTTTAATTAGCCAGGTTACTGTGCATCTTCTTGTAAATGCTTTTAAAAACACAAATGAAAAGCTGCTGCATAGTCCTGGCACTGAGAAATTTAAGGTTAGAACTGCTGCTGCATATCTGTGGAATTTTTGGACAAACCTAAAGAACAGCTCAAGGCAAATAGACCACACACTTTAGGCGACGCGTAGTGTGAACCTTACTTAAGTCACTTTTGTCTAAGTGATAGCACCTGTGTAGTTATTATTAATGTTTCCTTGAACTCTGATGGTATCCTCATTGGCAAAGGTTATGTTGTTTCCTTTTTAAACTCAAATATGAGTTTATTCCCTCTCCTCAATATCTCACGTGAAACAACCAAATTATTTATTTCCCCCGTCTGACTTTGAGCCGTGCTCAAGCTCAATTTCTCAAAGAAATTACATGATATAATTTGGGCCTATGTTTTCTTCTTGCCTTTTGATCGGTAAAGAAATTAAGGGAGAAAAATGTACATTAGCAGGCACAAATCCGTAGGGGGCTGCTTCTGCAGAACTGGATGCTACATTTATATATTAAAACTGTTTTTAAAAAGCTCAAAACACTAGGGCTAAGTACAGACAGTCAAAAGCCTAAGGCAGAATTGATTCAGTCTTTGCAGGTTTCTCTAAGCTGTGTAGATGGGACTGATAATGAATGGAACTCATGTTCATTCTTCAGTTGGGGACAGCAGGCAGATGCCTGCCCTGGCCTAGGCAAAAGGCAGTGGATGCTCCTGACTATTGCTGAGCCCAGCTGACCTGGGACCATTACTGCTTGGCTGCTTGCCACATGCCTCCAATCCCTTGCTGTTCCCTTGCAGGGGGGAATGGAGCCCCCCACCCTGGTCCCAGCTGGCTGCTCAACCCCACCCCCTGTGAGTCTCTGTCTCTGACCCACAGTGGGAAGAGGGGAAGGAGCACCCCCCTCCCCCTGCCCCGAGCTGGGGTCTGCCTAACCATGGGGAGCCACCCACCATGGGGGATTTTCCCTTGCCTGGCTGGGCCAGCTATTCAGCCTCACCCCCTGCAAGTCTATGATTCTGATCTGCAGAGGGGGAGGGAGAACAAGCCCCCTGCCACAGTCTGGGCTCCTCTGTGCTGGGGTCTGCCCAGCTGTGGGGAGCCCTGCACAGTGGAGACTTTCCCCCACACTGGTCCTGGGTTCCCCCAAGACCCTTGCTCAGGGGCAGACCAGGACCAGAGCGTGGGGCTCCCCTCAGCTAGATAGACCCCAGCTTGTGGGGCTGGGACCAGGGCAGGGGGCTCTTCCCCCCCCCCCACCTTTGTGGGCAGGTGGGGTTCTGGAACAGAAGTTCGATAGACCAGTCTAACCTGAACTGATTAAATCTGATATTATATTGATCCAACTCTATCTTAAACTAGGTTCTGCCATTTTGAAACCTGTCTATGTGGACTGGACTTCTCTTCTGGTACAGGTTTAGACCAGTTTCCAATCACTTATACTGGTTTATGTGTAATTTCTGTCTCTACCCCAAGGGACAAACTAATCCAGACTCTACCGTCAAAACTGAAACTATTCAATATTTGAACATCTCTTTTTGTAATGGAAAAAAAAAATTGTCCATGGGTTTTTGGGCAAAATTATTTTGGTTTTTATGTCAGAAATATTTTGTTTGCTACTTTTCGCATTAGGAAGTTCAAATATTTCATGATTATGTCTCATCCCATTTTATGACTAGGTTTAATATGAAGTAGTTTGGTTAGGGTGAGAAGGACTTTCTTAAAGCTGAAGCTGGCTTGTTATTTTCAGGGGAGGGCCTGAAGAAAATTAATATTGAAATCAGTGATTGTCTTTCTATATGGGTTGGCCTTCTTAGTGACTCTTCCGAGTGTATCTTAGACAACTAGCAGTTTCTGTGCATTCGGTACTCTAGTCTAATCTACCAAACTCAGATAGATAAATGAGATGTGCAGTTTTCTTGGAGGGAACTTTTTGAGAGGTTGATATTTGATTTGCTTGAATGCACAGTAGGGTACAGCCTACTTATGGCACGGTGGGCTGGATTGCTTTCTGAATCCATTTACCCATCCCTACTCTGATACATGGGACCAGAGGGGATAAGCTTAAATTGGGTATCTGCATGTTTGCTTCCTTCCTACAAAAACTGCCACGTCTAACTTGCTTTGGTTTTAGTGGCCTATCAGTGGTCTGAACACTGCTGCATTTCTTCCAGGTGAGAAATGGACTGAGTCTGTTCCTCTTCTGGATTTTATTGGGAGAAAAACATTCCACAAGCATTAGAATATTATAGGAAGAATACCAGAAATTCTGCACCAATGAGACACCAGCAAACAGCCCAAAACACATTACATTTGGCTTTGAGTGTGAGCATGCTCACATAACTAGTTAAGAGATGAGATTTGAATAAGTTATAACTAGTTTACTTTCCTCCAGGCTGCTTAACATCAATGCCTGCATAATCCATGGCAATGGTATTAGACACTTTAATTCTTTATTAAAATGCATTTCTCTTTGGAGTAAACAAACCTAGGAATTGGGACAGAATGTACTTTATTTCCTAATTAAATTACCAGTAGACACAGTCAACATGATTTCCACTTTGACTTTACCATGTTGTCGTCCAGCTTGTCTTGCTATAAGTGGACACAACATGTTAATAAATGAAAGACCTTTATCTTCTGTTGATTCATTCACTTTTCTTCACTGCCTTACACTGTGCAATAGGGTGAGGGTGAAATCATGGGCTTTCTGAAGTCATTGACTTTATAGCACCAGGATTTTACTCAGAGACAGTGTTTGTGCTAGGTAACAGATGCCGTTGCTTTTTGACTTAAAAAAAATCTTATGCAACACATCTGCTACCTGCTATTTGAAATCGGACTGTTTGCAAAGTTGTTGGCATTTCCTTCTGAAATTCACAATAGTGAAGCGTTTCTGCCAATTAAAAATGAGACTAGGTTTTTAACCTGAATCAACCTCTCCCCTTGAAAGAAAACATTGCTTGTGGGCAGTTCCTGACACTGCCATTGAAATTCACTGTGGCCTTGGGTGCATAAATTCACCTTTAGTGATTGTGTTTCTGTTTCCACTCTTATGTTCCCTGTCTTTTTAGAGTGTAAGGTCTGTAGGGCAGGGACCATCTCTTGCTATTCAGTGACCTTTATGCTGGAGAACAGTAGACAACCACAAGATAGACAGGTAACACACTGAAAACCTCAACTCACTTAAAAGTATCAAGATCTTTATTGTCCATACAGGTTAGATAGGACCTTTCTTTCTGCAATTCTCACCCAAACAATCCTTGAAGCGGGAATTGTATGGTATTTAGTTTAATTACCGCAGAAGGTTGAGGGGCTGTCATCTCTGTTTTATATTGGTGCAGCGTTCCAGGGCACCTGAAAGTTTTAGATCTAGGCAGTTTTGAGACTTTAGTTATACTGATGGACTTCCTATTTCCTTAGCCTATGAAGTTGGAATTTGCTGATAGGGAATGTTGAGCACAGCTATTCATATGCAAGCCTCAAATTATCCTCAGTAGTATAATCAGCCAAATATTTAAAAAAGTTACAAATACATATTAATTAAGAACTAATATAATTTCATTCCTTAAGTAAGGGGTTTATTAAACTAGGCTCAGTGAACATACACCAGGAAGAGAGCTTTCGGTAAAAGCTTGGTTCCTGGTCACCCTTTGTTTTTGGCTGGCAGAAAGGGGTTATGATACTTGCCTGTTCTAAAACTTTGCATTTAGACATCCACAAGGGGAGATATGGTGGGATTGTCAAACTGTAATTGGAAGTCATTGGGTTGTAAGACTCTCAGACTTGCTCATGAATAGCTGCACTTCTCAAAAGCAGCTAGGTGCTGAATTCCTAATGATCCTGAATTTAACTTGGAAAAACCCACAGGGTTCCTATCTGTCTCTTGAACTAAATACATCCTGCAATTTGACTGTAAATGACCTCAGCCCCTGAGGAGCTGACTGCAGCCAATCAGCATTTATCCACTGGGAGTAAAGCTCCTGAACACCTTACCAGCTGTGGCACTGGGATACCTCCTTGGAATTGTTGGGATTCTGCCAAAACATCTTTGCCTAAGCAAGCAATATCCCTTGTGAGTGAAACAACAAAGGAAATGTGTTTTATCAAGCCTGGCAGGTATAGTAGATTACTCTCACATGGATAAAATAGGGTGTTTAGTAACATTTAAAAGACCACCTCATTCCATGTTCTGTTTTGCTTTGTGTACTTGCTTTTCTGTTGACTTTCTGTACTATTTGTGTTTTTCAGAATGCCAAAGCCAGCTACGATTTCAGCAGCAATGATCCCTACCCATATCCCCGTTACACAGATGACTGGTTTAACAGGTAATACCAGGCTCAGTCAGCCAGCTGTTCACTTCAGCAGGGAAATTAGAAGGCTCTGTTGATACTTGTATCTGTCTCCCCATGAAATTATATGGTTTTCAACACAGAATCTACTGTCATGCTCTTGTCTGAAGATTAGAGGTTACTGCTTTTAGGTTTCACTTAGTATTCTGTTAGAAACATGCTAGTTCACTCTGATCAGTTGAGTCAGGATTCACTCTGGAGCTGTATGCTTTAATACCACACTCTGTAAGATTGGCTTCAAGGACAGTCCAATATGCGTCTGTGGTGATGCACCACAGACTGCTGACCACTCCTCATGTGTGCAGCAGACCCACGCACCCAGGATGAGGACCTGGCAAACATCAACAATAAAGCTTTGTCACATTAATGATACGTAGAGGAAAAAATGAAGTATACAAGAGGAGGAGGAGCAGCAGCAGCAGTAGTAGTATGGTTTGCTACTCCAGAAAAGTGAAGTGTTTGAGCTGGTGATGACAGCATATAAAAGTTCTATCTGCTCATCAAAAAAACCCAGCCAAATTTACATTTCAGAGAAAGTTGTTCTATTCTATTCTTACTTATTCTAACATCATTTCTCATTTAGTACAATATTCTGTTCATTCTAAAGGGAACATCTTGGAGGGTACTACCATGGGGCATCTGGCAGGAAGAAAATTACAGAAATAAATGAAAATACATGTAAAGGGACCAGAAAGGTCATTTGATTTTTCTTGAGACCCTGAAGGCCCAAAACACATTTTGCAAAATATTTGCATCCTGTTTTGAAAAGCCAATGGTCAGACTGTCGATTTGACTTACACTTGAGCTTTCCTTGTTTTCACCTTGATTTAAGAGCTCATGAGTAACATTTTGGGGCAGGTCTTCAGCTGGCATACATTGTCACTGCACCACTGAAGTCAGTTTTTGCCAGCTGGAGATCTGTGGGTCACATGTACTAAACCTGGACAAGACTAGGAATGTGCATTGTTTACGGTTTGCTACAACCTGTGGTCCTTACAGATACCAGCATTTCACATAGTCGGAGCTATGCCAATTTACTTCAGCTAGAGATCTGGCCCTTAAGGCATAGTGTAAATGTCAGTGACTGTGAAACAGGGTTTCCAATTTGCAGCTAATTTTTCCAAAATTCAGTTTTGGTTTAAACTGGATTGAAAATAATTCTCCCTCCACAAAAAAATCTTGAGAATTAGAAGATCCCCAAACCCAGCAACTTCTCAGTAAAAATGGCATTCTTGCTAGTGTCACACCTATCATTTCACAGCTCTCTTAAGGCACTGTCCCTGGATCAAAAATCCAGTGGCTGCCAGTATCCTCTGGCTCTGGGACAGAAACCTAAGAAAGTTTCTACTGGAAACCTGTCTTGGATTTGGTGACAACTTAGTGACCTTGAGATGTTTTAAAGGAAGATTTACAGTAAGTTATAGGTAAGACTCTGCCACTAGCACTTAAACAGGAATGGCACTAAGAATCTGAACATTTGGGAAGTGTCCTGGGCTCTGATAAGATGCTCCTTATCAGTATTTCAGAAATAACATAGATGCTCATTGTTTCTAACTCAGTAGTCATCTAACTGACATTTTGTCAGGTGTGATTTTTTTTTTTTTTTTTAAATGCTCTTTAGTTTTGAAGGCTTTGATTGCAAAGGTACATAGCAACTGCTTTTTGCCCTTAAACATGGGCCTTTTGACATGGATCAAAATGATTTATGGGTTCTAAATCCTCATTTGTAGTCCTGCCATGTTTCAATTACAGAAAGATGCAAAACACATTGCCCTTTCTTACTATGAAAGGTCATCTTGACATTATTTTAAAACTAGCATGAATCTAATTTGAATATAATAAAGGGCTAAGTCTGTGTCTCTGCCTGTCTGTAATGCTCTTGGAGCATTCTGATTGGTTACTGAAACAATCAATCAGTGCTCTAAGAGCATTATGGACAGGAGGCGGTGGCAGTGCACCAACACCTGCCCCACCCCCGCTCCCTGAAGGTAGTAGAGCACTGTCATGATGGTGGGGATAGAGGGGATGGAGCAGGGTGGTGAGGCCAGCACTGCTGGTCTTGCCCTCCCCTGCCCTGCCCTGCCCTGGTCCTTGGAGGTGGCGCAGGGTGCTGGCGGAGGAGGATGGAGAAGATGGCAGGGCAAGTTCCCCCCCACCCCGTGGGAGACTGCGGTGGTGGGGCAATGCTAGGGTTAGCAAGCTTCCCCCCCTCCCTCTGCTCCCCCCGCATCATTCTTGATGGGCAATTCGCTAGTACATGAATAAAAAGCCAGAAAAGGCCTAGGGTTTTCTATTAGAATGTCTCTGGCCTTTCTTGCCTTATTTATGCAAAGGTCCTTTCTAGCAGAAACACCAATTAGGTCTGTAGTGATACAGATTAGTAACATTTCATTACTAATGCCAGGTTACATCCTTTTCAATAGGGAAAATCATAATGCCAAGCATGCCTAGCCAAATGTCTTTTAAACTGATTGTGTTCTCAAGTTCTCTAAAATGTTTCATAGTGGGATGCAGTTTATACCAATGTCCTTTTTCACAAGGGTTGCCTTTGAGGCACTATCTCTTTGACCACACAACATTGTCTTCCTGCAATACTAGACTTAGAGAAGCTCTAATAGTATTACACAAAAGAAAACCCATGACTTTCCATGACATCACTCTCCTTTTTTCACCCTAATGAGAATAAGAATAGCATATCATGAGAACAAATCTTCCCTAGAAACTGTTCTTCTAGATTCAGAATTCTCCACAGCAGCCTCCAGCTTTTCAGAAAAATGGTGATTTCTTGAGAGCACAAGATTCTCTGCTACAACCCTAAGGCTCCTCCTGTGCTGCAAGTGTTTTTTCTGCCCTGCAAGATGAATACTATTGAATAATATTATGTTTCAGTAAAGAATACACTTCCTGCCTGAGGAATCAGATGAGCTTTATAGATCCAGGATTTCGTGTGTGCCAAGCTAAGAGAAATTCCTGTAAAAGACTGTTCAAAGAATATATATAAAAATATATTTTTCTGTGTTCAGTTATTAATATATTGGGTGGTCTTCCAACTTACTTTGTATTTTCATAACTGCTTCTGAATAAAATATTATTGCTTGGAGATGGCAGCTTCCTAGCTATAATAACCTGTCCATTCATATGTATGTGTGTTGCCTGGCGCGTGCACCCGGATATAAAAGAATTATACAACACTAACTTTTCAAAGACTGTGTTATCAAACAGAGCCCAACTGCAGTCATAAAACTCCCATTGACTTTAATACATGCAGGATCAGATGCAAAGTGAAATATCACTCGTACATAAAGGAAATTTTTCTATATGAGCAAGAAAAGAAGAACCAGGAGGCTTTTGTGAGCAGACAGCTGCATTAGATTTTTAAAAGAATCTGAGAGAGGTTTGTATGCTCAGTGTATGATATGAATCACAGCTTCATTGCCCATAAATGGAGATCACCCTTTCCAATTTGTGTTATTGAAGACTCAAAATCTCTTTGTCTCTATGTTTTCCAAAAGCACCAGTTTCTGTACCAAAGGAAATATGTTGTTGGATAAATTAAGCATGTTATTTAGCTAGGGCACTGGACTGGGAATCAAGAGATTTAGGTTCTATCCTTAGCTCTGCCCCAGCTTGCTGCTGGATGCTGAGAAAGATACTTTACCTTCATGTATCCCTTCTTAGCTTCTGCCTGCTTTGACCTTTAAGCAGACCCTGTGGGCACGTTAGCACTGCCGAAGGCTCTATAGTACTGCTCAAAGCCATACTCTGTAGTACGGCTACAGAGTAGAGTAGCATGCCTGCTCCAAGGGCACCACACCCTGATATGGAGGGAATGTACTTGCCTTAAAATGCCAGTGGGCATGTGCCATCAGCTGTCTTAAGCACACTCATTGCTGCATACACACTGCCACTTTGTGGTAGCTATATTACCAGGGAAGGGGAGAATTATATGCATGCCATGTTTCATTGCAGCACATCCTAACCTCCTTAGCAGTGTAGAAATGCCTGGTTTCCTGCTATATGGGCCTAGCACACTGGGGCTCCATCATACTTGGGGCTTGCTATGTAAATATTAACATTTTATATTCTTCAAGGTATCATCCCTCTCCCCTTCCCATGCATACAGTTATATGTTTCTTTCAGTAACTTGGAAATCCTTATTGCTTAAAATTAAAACTACCTGTCCTCTCTACTTATCATGAGCCTGATTTGAGGCCCATTATATAAGCAGAAGTAGAAGAACAGGCTAATGGAAGGCAACATTCTGAGAGAGAGCCAACATGGCTTCATAGTGGGTAGGTCTTGCCTGACCAACCTCATTTCCTTCTATGACCAGGCAATGCATCACCTGGACAAAGGAGAAGAGGTTGATGTTACATATTTAGCTTTCAAAAAAGCCTTTGACTTACTCTCCCACAATGTTCTCATGGTAAAATTGGGGAACTGTGGCCTCCACAACCTTACAGTCCAATGGCTTGGGAACTGTCTCTGTGGTCAGATCCAGAGAGTGATAGTCAATGGAACCAAGTCAACATGGCACATGGTGACCAGTGGCATCCCCCAGGTCTCAGAACTCAGACCTGCGCTCTTTAAAATATTAATAAATTATCTGGATTTGGGTATCAGAAGTGGACTGGCTAAGTTCGTGGGCGACACTAAATTATGGGGAAGTGTGGTCACTCTAGGGGATAGGTTGGTGATTCAGGCTAACCTGGACAGGCTCACAAGATGGGCAGATAAAAACCTGATGACATTCAACATGGAGAAATGCAAGGTGTTCCACCTCGGGAGAGAAAACGCACATCATACCTATAAGCTTAGCAGTGCTACACTCACTAACACCGTGACCAAAAGAGACTTGGGAGTCATGATTGATCACAAGATGAACATGAGCTACCAATGCAATGCCGCAGCTGGCAAAGCAAATAAAACCCTGGCTTGCATCTACCAATCCATCTCAAGCAAGACCCAAGAAGTCATCCTTTCACTTTACTCAGCTTTGGTCAGGCTGCAGTTGGAGTACTGTATCCATTTCTGAGCTCCACACTTTAGAAAGGATGTGGAGAAGCTTGACAGAGTCCAGAGGAGAGCCATGTGCATGATTAAAGGTCAAGAGAACAGGCCTTATGAGGAGAGGCTGAGAGACATGGAACGGTTCAGCCTGGAGAAGTAAAGGCTAAGGGGGGACTTGGTGGCAGCCTATAAGCATATAAGGGGTGTGCATCAGGAACTGGAAGACCATCTGTTCACCAGGCCACCCCAAGGGAAGACAAGGTCTAATGGTCACAAACTGCTGGAAGACTGTTTTAGGCTGGACTTAAGGAAAACCTTCTTTATTGTCCAAGTCTCCAGGGTCTGGAATAGACTTCCTCCAGGTAGCCAACATAGATTCCCCCCAGAAGTGGTGCAAGCACCTACACTGGATACCTTTAAGAAATGCTTGGATGCTTATCCTGCTGGGGTGATCTGACCCCATCTGACTTCCTGCTCCTGATCTCACAAGGTCCCTTCCAGCCCTAATGTCTATGGAATCTATGAAATCTATGAACTGCCACTGGCATAAATGGGCTTTGAAACCAGTGTCCATAATGCACATATATCTTTACATATGTAAAACCAATTCACCTCTATACTCTGCACAGCCCTCTCTCATATCAGATGAACAGCTCATGTGATAATGTCAGCAATCTTCAAACTGCAGCATTAGTTGAGAAAAATCTTTAAACAAAACAATTTCCCTTCATCTTACATGTGAGCTTATAGCTAGCCTACAGGTGACTAGATAATGAATGCCTAGCAATGCTATAATTTTTACACAGTTCTTTGAATGAGGACATCAAGGAAAACCTGCTGAGTTATTGAAAGAAAGATGTACAAAAACCTATATCAGTCTTGTTTCTGTCCCCTTCATAAAAGGTACCTTGAACCTTATGAGATCTTATTCGTTTGTGTGGAAGAAACCCGAACCCAGGCATTTTTGTAAAACAGCTCTATTTTAAAAAAACATAAGATGGAAAATATTACAGAAAAAAGAATGTTACTTCTCTCCCTCTGTTAATGTTACTCCTGCTAGGCGGAAGAGGGAGAAAAAAGATGGAGGATGAATTTTAAAAATCCAGTAATTTTTAAGGGATGGAGCATCTGAGATTATATTTGGCCTTTATAGGACATTACTACTAATTTTTTTGAGGTGCCAAGATACTGTAGTACTGAGCACAATATAAATTCATAGAGAAGATATATCTATCTATCTGTATATGTGTATATATAGATAGATAATCTTCTGGGTATTCTAGATCTTTTCTATGCATATACAGTATAAGCAATATAATCTAGTTATAAGAAATGCTAAAATATAGTACTCTTAAAGCAACTTTCTCAACATGAATATATATATTTACTAGAGAGTGCGGAAAAGAACCAGATGCTCCAACCCAGGCCTTCAAGCTTAGCCTTTATGGCATTTTCAGGAGCAATTAATTTCTTAACAGTTGTAAAACACTAAGCATTATTGAAGCAGCAGGTGCTGGGTTGAACCTGGACCTGCAGTGCCACAGCACAGACCTTCACCACTGGAGCTGAAAGAAGTAACTTCATGAACTTGCCATTGGGTTGAGCCAGTCTCTTCTGTAGACTTGTCACTGAAGGAGAATGAAGCATATCAGTGGTCATGCAGCTGGTGTCAGAGCTGCTACTAAAGATGCTGATCCATTTTGCCTTGTGTTTAATTTTTTCTTCCCCTGTTTTTGCTGCACCCACTGCTGTCTTTTTAGATGGCAACCTCTTTGAGGAATAGGCAGTCTTGTTTCACTTGTGTGTTTGTGCAGCATTAGCACAATGGAGCTCTGACCCATGGAGCCCTTGGACCCATGGAGCTACCATAAAACAAATAGAACCTAATGATAAATGTGTCATCGCATTATGTAAGTGCTAAGCATTATCATTTAGACCACTCTATTGTGGTACATTACATTTCTTTTGTCCATCAAAGACAAAACTTATTTGAAAGTCCAGATTTTACCAAGGACTGAATCACTTCGCAACCAATTGCATAGCCATGTAAGGTACTATTAACCATTATTCAAGCTGCAGATGATAAATGCACTCAAGAAGGAATCTTTTTGCCTAAATGCATCACAATACAGTGTAGTACAGTCAGGAATGAATTTTCATTTTTCCTCTGAGCTATCTGTTGTGGACTGTACAAAGACAATGATGAATCGATTATATGATCCAGCATATTTTTAAGGGCACACGATGCTGTGCACTAAAGTTGGCATAGAAGCTTCTGTTGACATGAAAAGTCTGTTTTTTATCTTTGCAGCCATGGAACCAGATGTGCAGGCGAAGTGTCAGCCGCGGCAAACAATAACATCTGTGGAGTGGGTGTGGCATACAACTCAAAGGTGGCAGGTATGGTCCCAGTACAGTTACAGCACCAAATCCTGTACTCCTTACTCAAGTCTTTTCCTTAGACAGACCTTGTCCCATAGACAATGGAAGCCTTGACTGAATAAGAGTGGCAGGATTTGGTCTAGACTGTATACTTTAATCACAGAAGTTTTAGTACTCCCTTTTTGTGTTCACATATACATACATGTATATGTATATATTTAAGGCAGGGAAGAGCATTCCTTCTAGCTCCTTCCCCTATCACTTGCAGTTTGTATATTGTTTCCCTATAAACCAGCCTGTTTCTCCTGATCTATACCATTTCAGAACTCATTTGAAGTACATCTAAGCTTGCAGCAGAAGACATGCAAATTTAACTGCTCTTAACATTTTGCAAAAATGGCTTCTGAAAAAGCAACCTCCTAGCATTTATTCTCCAGTTTTAGTAGGGGCAAGGTCCTCAGCTGGTGTTAATCTATGTGGAGCTGTTGTCATGGATAGCTATTGACAGCAGTTGAAGGTCTGGTTCTTGGAATGTATGCAGCACAGTTAATTTTATTTTGACAGCTTGGCTCATTTGCCTTTTGATTGTTGTATCTGAAATACCACCATGGCCACAATAACGTCCCAAATCAGATCTGGACTCAGAAGAAAACTCACTATAAGAGATGTCCAGACCAATTTCTATCTGGTGATTAACACTGAGACACTTTTAGCACTTCCTAATTGATTTAAACTGACACCAGGCATCACCCCAAATGGTGCCTATGAGGAAAACTAAAGAAAGATCAAATAAATGTTTTCCACTGAGCTTTGGAAGGGCAGACTTCACTAATATCTAAATCATTCTTGATCAAGGTTACATTAATAATGAATAAAATTAAACAAACAGAAAAATACAACAAATCAAGTTTTGTGAACCATTTAAAAACTGAGGCAAGTTTCTAATTAATGAGAATAAAGAAGAATCCATCTGTGGTTAAATTACCTTAATTATTATTAGGTTGACAAGATTTCTTGCACCTACCTTTTACCAAGTAGTATCAGGTTCTATTAATGAAAAGACAGCTGGAGAGCTGGCCTGATCCTGACTGACAAGTGTTTCATTCCTGCGGTAAAGGAAGATTTCCTTCACATAAGCAAGTTAGCACTATCAATTGTGGCCAGCAATACTGTTTTAAACTGTGTTATGTGTTCCAAAAGTATAAATGGCATTTGTTGGTACATGTTTGGAGGTTGAGACTGGTTAGATCCAAGAGGCACATGTATGCATGTAAGGACAACAAGAACTTGGCTTCCTGCATCTGTACAAATTGGGTTGGAAACTTTGTAATAACAGACTTCCTCATGAGATATCCACCACTCCCTTCTTCCTTTCAGAACCATTTCTTTAAAGCGTGCAAGTTCTTATGACTGCTGGTTATGCTTTGTACTGCAGGATGCATCCTCCCTAGAATATATGAAGGGAAGAATGGACTGAAAGCAACTTTTCAGTTTCTACAATCCATGAGATATAACATCCAAAAACATAGTTGCCTGAGAAGCTTAATGTAAGTCACCATGGTTCATTGCTAGTACACACAGATCAGCAGTCTGCATGAGTTACAAAATCTGGTTCCATATCTGGAACAATTGGATTTGCAGGTATTCAGATATGGGATTTTGGTTCAGGCCCATATGTATTATGCCAGTCAGTTATTTAGAAAGTACTTGAACCGAGGGATCATGCTTGTGCATTTCCTAAGAAATTTCTCTGTCGAAGTAAATTTATTTGAATGGAAACAGCATTTCATTCCCTCTGGACTGAGAAAAGCACAGGTTTATTACTGAGGCCTGTAGCACCACCACCTGGCCAGTGCCTGACTCCATCAAACCTCTGGTTGAAGCTGTGTGTCTGTTTATAACATGTCTCTGAGCCACATCCTCACATGACGTAAAGTGGCATTGAAAGAAAACAGATCAGAAGCTATCCCCTAGTAGTTTTCCCTTTAATCCCACTTTTCTGTACTAAGGTGAAATGTGATGGCCCAGTTCAGAGTTCTGGCTCTGCCTGAAGGGTCTAGTGCCAGTGTCAGGGAGATCCAGCACTTTCAGTTCAGAGACATTTATCCTTTGCTTTTTTCACCTTGTGCGGGAATGTCTTGTTCCCCAAGTCTCACTCTGACTTCCTAGCTTGAATTTGAAAATCTGAGACACGCAATCCTACTGTTTTCATTTTAAAATAGTATTTGGTTTGAGCTGCATAATTCATATCCTAATTTGGAGGCTTGCCACATTTCTTTGTGTTTGGATCAGGAACTTGATTTTTGATCCAGTAAAATTCTGCCTCTAAATTCTCCAGATTTTACAAGGTTCAAACCCATGGTTTCAATTTCAGCCCATCTTTACCCTGCAAAAATTGTCATTTCAGCTCCGAGTAATAAATGGAGTCAGTTTGCTTGAAAATCATCCTTGGAAACTGTGATCTCAGGAATCTTCACCTTAAAAGTCCTGTCTGTCAGCAAAGCTGACCTGTGTTTTGGGCATAATGAAGTGTTTACCCACAGAATGCTGGCACTTCTCCAAATGTCAGCCTCTTTGACTTGCTCAGGGCTGGAGTTCAGAGACCAAATTAAATCAGTATATATTGGATGTTTACTGTTAATATTTTAATGTCATGTATATTATATTATACTTTAAAGGGAATATTTTCCCAAACAATAGGCATGCCTCCCTATTTTATATGCCTACCAGTAGACTGTATATCATTAGTCCCATATAAGTCATTTGTCATTTTCCTTCTTTCTGATTATTTATCATGGAAAACAACAGCAAGAGAAACAGACATGCTGGGAAACAAATGACATGTATTAGTTGTGAGTTATTAAGATTTGTAGTTTGCTTGGTAGCTTTTATTCTAGTCCTCTATTTTTTCAAACAACTCTCTACATGACCTTGGTAAAATTACACAGCCTCCCTGTCTTTCAGTTCCCACATCAATAAAACAAGTGCAATGATTTATTTACAGGGTTTTATGTAGCATAATTGCTCTAATAGTGTATTCAAATTTTCCATGAAAGGAGACATGTACTTACAAAGTTCAGAATATGTAATAAAATGCTCCTTTATGTGTCAGCCCGATGCTGTTTTATATTGGAAACAGTTCTATTGTGCTGTACAAACACTTACCAGAATGTGAAGTTTTAGTCCAAAATTATTGTGGGATTGAAACCATAAGTAGGCTGGAATGCCTGAAACTGCAGGTATTAATCAGTTATTGAGGTTTTGCTTTGTCTTTGGTGATCTGTAATCCATATTTGTGTTGATTAAATCCACAGGTATCCGAATGCTGGACCAGCCATTTATGACAGACATTATTGAGGCGTCCTCCATCAGTCACATGCCTCAAGTCATAGATATATATAGTGCCAGTTGGGGTCCAACTGATAATGGAAAGACTGTGGATGGACCCAGAGAACTAACTTTGCAAGCAATGGCAGATGGTGTTAACAAGGTAATATTTCTATTAAAACATCTGGTCATCGTGACATCGTAAATCTTATGCTACTTGCACTGATTTGATGCTTGCCCAAATTCCACAAAACAGCTATGAACACTGCCAAACATGGTAGGATTGTATCAGTCTATCCCAGTTATTGATGGGATTACCCAAGATTACCTACAAATTCTGACCGTGACATCTTGCATTGCAGTGTAGTTCTTGTAGGCTTCTTCACTTAGGCATAGAAGAAATCAGGTGTCTTAACTTAGGAGGGTGATCCAAATCAACAGGGTTGGGTGCTTTGGATCTTACATGGGCAATGTCCAAATCGCCTGGGAAGTGAATTGGGAGGTGAGCCAGTTGGAAATGCTAGATACAAGAGTGTGTCTGACATTGTCTGGCTAACCCAGTGAGGACTTTAAATTAGGTTTTGTGGGAATGGGTGATAGAAACTCAATGCACAGTTAGGGTCAAGGAATAAGGACCAGGATAAGGAGCAGAATTCTGGAGGTGGAATGGAAAGGTATTGTAGGGTTAGAAAAGATGCAGGAAAATTAGCAGGCCAGTCTGCAAAATATCTTTGATTCCTGTGTACCAAGCAGAATGAACTGAAAGTCAGAGTGTGTATGGAAAATTATGACTTGATTTGCTTTAAAGAGTATAGCTAGTCCTGGAAGGTTAGGTATGAAACAAAGAAGGAGATGTTGTGAGGTATGTCAAAAATATATACATTTCCCTGGTGGTCCAAGAGAAAGTGAATAGCAGATCTGTAGATTATATCCAGAAGAAGATAGAGGGTGGGAAAAGAACAGGACCAATGGTATGATGTTTGCTGTGGTTGGTACAGTCCTTGTGAGTTGTATGCTCTGTGTGTGCCTAATAGGCTGAGGACTTAAGAAGACCCCCTACCTCTGACCTGGATTGATGAGCACATCTACATGTGCCACCATGGCAATGTTATTACTGCTCTGTGATTTAGTACTTCCTTGGGAAGTACTGAATCACGGCGCAGTAACAGCCTGTACTGCGCCATACACGTGGTACACAATTATTTTTAGCAGCTACTTCACCTTAGTGGCATGTTATACAGGGGGAGTGTATACTATGGCAATGTAGCTGCTGGTCACATGTAGATGCCCACGGATGCTGTGTCACTATAGCATGTTGCTATGGCATGGTAGTGTCACATGTAGATGCGCCCCCAGTGAAGCTCAGGGAGGAGTTAGGTAATTAGCTCTTCTAGCAAAATCACTTCTTAATATGCCTAGAAGCCCAGGTGCAGGGATCTCTCAAGGCAAAATGAAGGCACCTAATGAATCAAGATGCCTAAAGAGGTGCTGGAGCTTGGTCTAGCTGGATTGCTTTTTGTCACTTATGGGTCTAAATTGTACCTGGATCCCATTTAGGTACCTGCTATCTGACCCCAATGTAGTGCTCTACACTGAACTGCTGAATTGTCTCCATATCTCTCTTTCTCTCTGTTCATCTCAAACAATGTACATGTGTCTGTACATGTGGAGACATGAGGGAATTAGGGTCAAATGGCAAAAAAAATCTGAATCTTGGTTTCAGATGCCTGTAAATAGACCCCAGTGTTACTGGGGTATAAAACTGGCATTAGCCTGTGGCTCTTTATATATATTACCACTTTAATTACCACTTTGAAACTGCATCATCTTTCAGGTCATTTATACATGACCCTTGCTTCAGATATGAGGCACAATAATTGCAGTATTGCCATTTTGGTTTTCATAAAATGCTATGATTTCCCACTCTCAGAAACCTCTTATATTCTCCAGTCTTTCAATCTCTACTCATAACCCTCCTGCCAGAAACTCTGTACTTCTTCTCCAGGTCTTTACCAAGCTGTTAATTTGGGAACCAGACGCAGAGCAGTGCAGCTCTGTTTCCTGACAGCAGCTCCATGTGGGATAGCTCTGACCAGCCACCTGGTATAGCAATAGCTATTTTTGCATCCTCTCCAAAAAGACAGTGCCTGGGGAAGCTGCCCCAGTTGCTCCCCCTTCCCCACACTCCCAGTTACACTACTGCTGGGAACCAGCCAGGGGTGAAGCACAGAGGTAGCTGCAGAAGGGAGAGGAACTGGTGGCAAAAGAAAGCTGGGCAGAGTGTAGTAGGAATGGGCTGTAGGCTTTTTTTCCCCCTTCAAATAAATTGCTGTGGGAGGGAAGGGGCCAAGGTGGAAGAGAAGGAAAAAACGGTCCCAAGGTAGAGGAAGAGGAAAGGAGAGCTAGAAAAGCTGGTAAGAGTTCAGAACACAAGGGGAAAGAGAGAGGGGGTCAGGTCGTTCTGTAAGGTTCAGAAAGTCTTTGTTCTGGTAGAGCAGAGAGTGAAATATATTGTCTTCATCTCCTCAGTGTAGACCAGTCAGGATGAAAACACTTACTTTCAGTGCTGTATGAAGTGACTCCTCTCCGTTGTATTGATTGTACACTGTATTTTTCTAATAAAACTCTGAATTTCTCCAGTACATCTTGGATGCTTTTGTGTGGGAGCTCTGCAATTACTCATTTTCCACCTGAATGATTTCCTGTTCTTCTTTTTGCCAATTCCTCCCCCTCTGCACCACCACCTCCTCGTGAACAGTACATTCAGTTTACCCTGTTTTGTGACATGATAATTAAATCTACTGTTGTCGGTGGTAAAGTCTCTAAAGCTTTCTGGGATCCTTAGCTTTAAATGTTGGCCCATAGTAAATGAATTGTAAGCACCATCTCACTCTTGTCTGTAAATTTAGGAGCATGCTTAGGTAATCCAGGAAAGCTTGCCAGGGATTTCCTTTGGGTCCATTCTGTATACATTACAAATATTACAGAACTCTGTTGGCCTGATCCTGACCTGGTGTGAGCTCTGTTGCAGTCAATTTGTATTACATCCTGCATTTTTATTGCTTTTTAATGTATTTATGATATCCATGTATGTATGTACAAGCACACATTATTATGTATAATTTATATGTAATATACATATAGTGATATGTATAGATAGATCAGTGGATGCTATTATATTCACAGTGGGTGTGTCTAAACGAGATGCTTTACTGTGCAGTAAACTGATCCATTATGCAGTAAAATGTCACTGTCTACATGTGCTCAGCATTTACTGTGCAATAGATTAGTCTACTGTGTGGTTGCCTACTACCTTTAAATATGGGTAATAGATTAACTGCACAGTAACTAGTGCACAGTGGCTCACATGTAGACTGCTGACTTGGGAGCAAATTGCTCCTGGTCAGCCCAGACAGCAGGGGACAGGAAAACTGTGTCTTTTCCCAGTCAGCTGCTTCTCAGCCCATGCCCCCCTGATCAGCAGATTGGAGCATAGGGCTGGGAAAATGCCCACTCCCTCAGGTGCTGTTTTCTAGCCCCATGCCCCAAGTGGCAGATTGGCAGATCAAGGAATGGGGCTGGGAAGCAGCAGCCCAGCAGAGGGGGCATTTCCCCAATCCCATGCCCCAATCCTTAGATTGGGGCATGAGGCTTGGAGGCAGATGCCCTGGAAGTGAGACAGCTTCCCTTACCTCTCCAGAGACCAGGGCCTGACTCCAGTGCTCCCTGCTAGCCCAAGTCTGGCACCTGCAAGAGCCTGGAGCTCCCTCTGGTCCTGCACTGAACTGTTCCTCTCAGGAGCAAATTTGCTCCTGTTTGGAGCAAATGTGCTCCCAACAGGTGCATGTGAAGATGCCCCACCTGGGAAAGCTTACTGTACAGTATTTTACTGTGCATTAAGCTTACAATACGTTAATAGTATGTGTAGACATGTCCAGTGTCTATGAAGGCAGGCTATTGCCAGTCTGGCATCTTTCTTTTTTTCATCCTTTTTCATTTCTATCTATTAATATTTTAGAAAATAAATATGAAAGTAATATACACAGCACAAGAAATAAATATCAATGTGCAAGTGATGAACTCCACTTATATTCTGTTGTTGTACTATAGTCGTTGTTCCTTAACCTTAAGAATAGCTGGCCAGTTTTTCCCAAAATGTTACTAATCCCTCACAATCCTACTTTTTGGGGATAAGACTGTTTATGTGTGTTACATCATTTAACAATTTAAAAAAACTGATATTTGAATAATGCAGTAATATCTTAAAGTCAGTCATTACACACTGATTCTCCAGCAGACCCTCACTAGACAATGATGGTACTGGATGTTTTCCATTGTTTTGTTCAGGTGTACAGCCAGCCTAAAAGTGACAAAACAGGCTCTACTAATCCTGGCAGGATGACATGAGCTAGTCTAAACAGAAATATTTTACTGTCTTATGGGATATGGTTTGCAATTTGTACTCTCAGTTTGTGCAATCATGGTTTTAAAGAGGTCTTAATTAACTTGTTATATCACAATATGCCTTAGTTTGTTCTATGGAATCATACTAACATTATACCTGCTTTATGACTCTTTAGTTTATGTGAGCAAATTTTTCTCTTCTGGCTGTATCTCAGTGCATTTGAAGCATAAGAACATCAGTCATATCTGATTCTTGTATAATAGGTTTCCCTCTGAGGCAGGGTTACAGCTCCATTTAAAATTTAATTAGCAGCCTAGGCTGGGGGATTCTTCCTGGGTCACTGAGTCCAATCTCCTGAAATCACAAGGAACCACATCAAATAGTCTTTTTCATAAACTTGCTAATGAAGGGAAAGGAAAGGCGTACTGCAGCTTTTGAATAACTTACCTTTTGAGATTTATGCTGAAGTAAAAAGAACCACAGACATTCATGCAGTAAGAAAGTATATATCTGTGTAGATGCCCATAGAATTACAGAACATAAAGAATAAATTGGGGTACTATATAGAAGCTCTGTTGTTGCTTAACATTAGTATTATATAAGAATCACACCTCATATATTCTCAGCATTGTATACACACAAAGGAGGTCACAATCCTGACTCCAGGGACCTTACAATCTGGAATCAGTAGGCATGTTTCTAACCACTCTTACTTGAGGAAAAAAAAGAACAGGATATATCTACTTGTATGACATATG